GTCTAACTTGAGGGCGCACATCGATATTAGCATAGTTTCGGTGCACTGATCACTCACTGATGGAGCTGTTGACGTGTTTACTCTCCCCAAACTGGCCGTTATTTCGCGAAACACACTCATTTGCAAACTACAACCGGAGCCTCAACTAAATTACACATGAATCCCTCATTTATGAATGTACTGCTGCCTCACGCTTCACCTGGTATGACATTCGAAGTATCGCAGTACATTGTCTAGTGGAAACGCACCGTTTGTAAGGTTTTTGAGAACTCCTTGACAGCCCACAATCGGCTTTCTCCTTGAGACTCGTCAGGTGGGCACTTTGCTACGATATCTCACATCGCATCAACCAAAAAGTGAATATCAGTGGGCATTTTGTTCTACGAACTGCTCTGCTCTCGTTCAGTTGTTTTCTCTGCGTAACACTGCTTGAAAGTCATTTACAAGGCTGCATTCAATAGATGAAGTGTTCTCTAACGACCGTTTCAGAGTTAATCTCTTGGATTTACCGGACTATGTCTTCCCAGGATTACTGATGTATGACTATATAAGTTGCATTTTCCGTTATGTTACTGGACCCAGAATTCGTTTGACCGTTCTGCTTGGTTCTCTTTTCCATGCTTAGAGTTTGAACCAGTAGGGAGCACGAAACAACCTTAGTCTTTACTCATTTTTCCTGTGGACTGAACTTGGAAGACTTTCAGTTGCCCGATCCCAGACACGTACCTCGTGGAATTCATCAGTTGCGCACAGTTTGTGTCCTGTAGAAGTTTTTTGCAAGGGTTTGGCTTGATTCTATTCGTTGGACACGTGTAAAACCTATTTCAACGCCTAACTAGTGCTGTAAGTTTAGTTAACTTTACGCAAATGTCCACTTACTGGAATTCCATTATGCTTCACCTTGCGCGAGGATCTGTGTATCGTAAATGCTCGTTTTCACACCAAGTCATGGCTGACTTGGAGAGCCTGTTGTGGACTCTCAAATGGTAGGTTCATCTTCTAGGGTCTCTCCCGTAACTAGGTACTTGTAGGTGTTTCACCTCACATAAATTGAATTCAGAGACACTGCGTTCTCGAATGAACTGACAGAAGACCGAAGTCAGTATATGAGTTGTCACCGTTGCTGAACTTTCGTTCTTACTTCCTCAGTCATTTATACGAAGTTATATACATGCAGCATCAGCGTAGAGCAACGCGCAGGAGAGTGCGTGAACATCACTCAGCTGGATATAGGCAGAAACGGTTGTAATCACCAAGGAGTGTAAGATGTGTTAACAGATGGGCACTAAAGCTCAGTGCACATTAAACCGATGATAAACGGATCCACTTGAGTCGGTGAAAACTTCAAAACATTTGCTGAAAGTCAATATAAGAGGGCCAAGGCATACAACAATAAGGAATATGAATGGGAAAATGGGGACATAAAAGTTGTTGGAGTTTTCGAGGTGAAGGTACGCACAGAACTGGTTTGAGCCAACGGATGGCACTTTGAGACTACATTTCTGCTGCGGTCTGTAGGCTGCATGTATTGCAGTTACAGGACCCACCACGTGACTGTTGTCCTCTGGTTCGCTCACAATGGAAACGTTTGTTTCTTCGTCGGATCTTCGAGCTTTCAATGAGGTGAACATTCAGATCACGTCTCACGGATACAGTATGACTGATAGATTACATTCCAAAAGAGGCACTTGGTCCCCCATGTGGTCAATTATTCTCTCGGTTAGTCTTGTTTTATTGTTTATTCTAACCACCTCAACAGGAGCAGTGAATTACATCCGGGTTCTTGTACGAACTCGCCACGTTCCTCATTAGCAAACGCCGTTCCATATTTTCTGCGTTGATGTACATTAAACCTGTGTGACCTGTAGTTGACTCCGACTCGATAGTGGAGAACTTGTTACAGGTTCAGTAGGCAAACTAAGGGAGTGTCTGCCCCATTTTCGGTGCTGTTGTATCATATACTCAATTTGCAAGTTACGCCAGTGAAAAAGGTTGCATTTCGCACTTGTAAGTGAAGTTCTGGGTTATGAGGAGGTTTTGGAGTTCCAATTAAAATTTCATCCTTCGTGTGAAATCACCTGGTAGATGAGTTTGTACCCCGTTTACCACTGCGGGGTCGACTGGTATGGCGTTCGGCTGCCAGCTAGAAGATTGTGAATTAGAATCATCCCAACAGATTTGTGAAGTGCACGGTCTTGCTGATTTTCAGCAAGGTTAAAACGGTTTTACAGTTGTCAGCTTTTTTATTGCATTGACTTCGCTTGCAGGATGGGATACCAGCATGTGTACTATCGGAATTGGTCCAGTCGACTGAATGATGCGAGTAGTCTTATCACTATCGTCCTCTCGCATTCCAGCGCACACTGCGGTCTGCTCATGGGAACTGTAAAAAATCTGGGTTTATGCCAGAGAGATTCATTTCGGTGCAAAAACTAATAGTTCTGTGAACCGGCTTTATCAGATTGCTTGAGAATGGTTGCTTTCGAGACGTTAGTCGATTTTTTCAACAGGCTCGGGGGCTTTCAAAGGGCACAGTGCAGTGACTTACTCATGATTTGATCCCATACCCACGTACGTGTTGTTTATTTACAGCAAACCATCGAATAATCCGGTACAATCGGATATTTGCATATTCCCCCGTGTTCCTCACTGCTCATAAAACAATGCCTAACAATAAGCTGACCACAAACGAGGCTATCCAACTGTTGCCTCAACCCCACCGTGTTTTTGCATCGGATTGCGGCACTCTTTTCGAAAACATACGGTGAACCGTGCTCAGTTATTCAATAGGTGTGATAGATGGAGTTGTTGTCTTGACAACCGTGCTTCCGGAGTGTCCATTGTCAGATGGAAAAAACAAACGTGCCACCAACAGTGTTATTTTAGATATCCAGCGTAATCAGTTAGGAGACTATAGATCTGTCACACAGACCGTGCTTTCGAGAAACCGGAGTTTTTGAGTGGGATTTATATTTCTTGCCATGCAATAAGCCGAGATTGTTTTGTGGCCGAGCACGATAACCATCCGGCCCAATGAGTGGTCATTCTAGTCTAAAGACCGACAACTTCAAACGTTGTCAGCACTAATCTATTTTGACCATCGTACAAATGAATGTGGGCCAAAAAATCACGATAAATTGTTGGATGAATGAGTATTGGCCAATGAGCAGACTGATATTTCAGGGGCAGTTATTAACTGCCTCTTGCCTGATTCAGCCGATTGGTCTATAAATTGTTTTTCTCTAATCGTGCCCCCATCTGGCTTAGATTTACAAGAAGCAGACGACCTGGCTAGGCGAACCGAAACTGTGTCGTATACCAGTTTGGTTAAGGATCGTTTGATTCTATTTGTATGTAGCTGGAAACCCTGCAGAACTTGATGTGTGACTGCTCCCGGCGACGTATTTTCCGTATTGTGCGGGCAAAACAGTTTATCTAAATTTTTCAGTTTGTTTTCTAGTTTTTGCCAAGCATAAGCACAAAGCAAAGTAACTCTAAGAGATAGAGAACCTTTGTAGTGAAAGTTTTTCGAAAGCTGTCAGCCCCACAGTCTTCCNCTGCCTTAGATAAAACCGGATATGTTCAGACTTGACCACTGCCACTTTAGCCATTTTCGTATGAACTTGTGCTTTTCGTATTAGTTATTACTCGTTTGCGTGCTGTTCGTCAGCAGCTAGGGAAATTTCACACTTATGACGTTTGCAGACCGGAATTTGTATTGGTGTATCGTTTTCGTTGCAAAGGCCATGATGTCGACCCACTTTAAAAGAATGGTTCGTGCAGACAACTAATTGTGTTTGTCATCATCATTATCATCGTCGAAAGCATGACATCAGTGTTCAGCACTGATGCTTCTCTTCCGTACAACCATATGTGTTTCTTCGTATCTTGAAACCTTTTGGTTTATTCTTTATGTCATTCCAAATATCGTTTTTGTTCGTCATAGCTCGCCTACGTTAGTTGCAAGCTCAGTAACTCTCATTGTTTTGCTCAAACCGTATGCCGTCGATAGGATCCAGGTAATATTTTAGAGGTTAAGTGTTCTATTACAACTATGGGTGATACTAGTACGTCTAGATGGCAATTGAGTGCAATGTTTGCCGAATTAGCCTTGGTCGTTGGTGTCACAGTTGTCGGACCGATCTCTGGCACCAAATATGGCTATTCCCATCGATTTTCCTGCTTGCGTCAGTCAGTCAGTACTCAAGGTTCCATTTTTGCCACTACTGAAACGGGTATCGACTTCGATGCTGGCAACTGAAGAATGATGTCACCTCTCGTGAACTAATGGTCTTCATCTGGGCTGCCAGTGTTTACTTGATTCATATTTGAAAATGGAGAATTCGACTCTTTTTCCTCCGGACGGTTGCTCGCTGAACCACTATGCACTGACAGTTGTTGGCTTGAGCTAATTTGTACACCACACCAAAGCTGTGTCCGTTTGTTCCGAATCCTTTATGCTATTTCTTTTCGATTTGTGATCGGTTTAGCACTTCTTACCATTGTGACCAGTTCATGTGTGATTTGTGTAAGATGGTTGATTTTTAGACCATACTCGTACAGTTACTGAAAACTTTTTGACATCCCATGACCCTTTTCGTCCTTCATGGGGCTCATCAGGTAGTCATCATGAGGCACAATCCTCGAGTTTTCGTCAACCTGATGTTCTACTTTAACCCAAATTTGACGGAATTCGACACTCGTTCGTGTATCAATTGGATCTTTACGGGAGACTCACCTAAAATCCAGCTGAATTTCTCGTTTATGTTTTACAACTGAGTTAGGCAAATGAGTGTATTTATCTACTTGTTGAGTTTTGAGTGTTCTTACTGTCTTGACCCAGTAATTGACTCAGTTTTTGGACAATTGGGATATAAGAACTTGCGCGATTATCACATCGGCACTACACACTCATCCAACGGGATCGCTCACAACCTGGTTTGTGATTACTACTACATAATCTTTTACTAAGCCTCTTAGGCCAAACAATATTGACTCACCTCAGTCCAGATTCGTTTCACTTTGTGGGTCCTGGCTGGAGAGTGCCATTCTTATCATGATGCGCATTTACTGCATTCGCCTGGGGGATCAAGCAGTTTCTGTATCCGCCAAAAATTCCGTCGTGGATTAGCACAGCTTATTTTTTCCGTCTACACAAGGCACTAACCACGTGCTCGGTGAAAACGGGACGCTAGTTGTGTACACAGCTCTCTTCCAAACCAATTAGATTTATATGCAGTGTCATGCCTGTCTGCTCACCACTACTGTCCAATCAGCTCTGTCCATCCGCCTGTGATCAGCTGATTCGAATGGTTTTCCGCATGCACAAACTAGTCTCACTTTGTGAACTTAAAATTGGCATTCGACGGTCACCCTGGTAAATCACACCTGATCGTATCATCCTGAAGAGGAGAATTTTAAATGGTTTAATTTTGTTGAAGTTTTCAACTCGATGGTTTTCCTTAGCAGTATGTTTTTTCCTCTTTTTCACACAGATTTCTCTTATCAGTTCTCAATGGGTCGTTCTGATCATCATAGGAAAAAGCATCCTGGCACTAACAGCAAGTCGCGCTGTGAATCTAGCTCATCCAAACGCGCGCGTTTGACGACAATAAAGACAGAAGATGATGACTCAAACATGTCTGGGTCAGTGGGTATGAGTGAATCCGGAGATGATCGAGCGGGCGAATACGAAGACGAGTTGGATGACGATTCTCAAATGGGCGCGAAAAATTACGACGGGGATGACGACGACGAGGAAGCGGATGAATACGAATCCGGATTAGTTGATGCAGATGAAGCGCGAGTGTTGTCTAGGGCGCGGCCAAAGGGTTTAAAGGTAGAAGCAGATCGTGCAACCACCTCAGCTATCAAACAAACTAATGGTGTGATGTGCACACCGCGAGACGAGTTCGGTGCTAAAGACATGCGTAATATCCTCTCTTTGCGTCCGGACCATCCTTGTAGGCCCTTATGGGTTGGACCAGATGGACATATCTTTCTCGAAGCATTCGGCCCTTTGTCTCGCCAGGCACAGGATTTCCTCGTTGCTATTGCGGAGCCAGTTTGTAGACCAACCCATATACACGAGTACAAGCTAACGTCTTACAGTCTTTATGCCGCTGTTTCTGTGGGGCTGCGGACTGGCGAAATTATTGGCTGCCTTCGCCGTTTGTGTAAAACTGATTTACCTCCAGGCATTGTGGCTTATATTCGCAGTTGCACTCTGTCTTATGGAAAAGCCAAACTAGTGCTCAAGGGTGGCCGTTACTTTGTAGAAAGTCCCCATCGCCGATTCCTTCAACAGCTCGCCAATGATTCTATCGTGCGTCAATGCCTTATCCGGACTGGTGGTCAGACTGATAGTGAGACTGCCGCTGATACAGTTGTTCTGTATAATGCCGCAGATCTGACACAGCCGGATACATTAAGTGTGCTCACATCTAATGAGCCTGCCGAATCTGTCGAAGTCTGTGGCGCAGCTCCGGAAGTCTTACATTTATATGCTCAGTTAGATGCAGAGGAAGAGGTTAAAGCTGAAAGGTCTGAATATTCCATGCAAAAAGGTGGCAAAGATGGTTTTCTTGACATCACAGATATCAATTTGGATCTGAAAGCGATCGGCTTGGAGTCAGAAGCAGCCGATAAGGAGGGTGATGACGACGATGAGACAGACCTAGACGGTTTAAATCCATCAGTTGCTCGATCGGCTTCGGGTGATCGATCGACTCTGTTAGCGATGGAGGTGAATCAAGACCAGATTGAACTGCTGCAACGTCGATGCATTGAACTTGAAGTGCCCTTGTTGGCGGAGTATGACTTCCGGCAAGACAAGATCAATAAGGACATTGCGATCGATTTGAAAGCAAGCACAAGCTTGCGACCGTATCAGGAAAGAAGCTTGCGTAAAATGTTCGGGAACGGACGGGCCCGGTCCGGCGTCATTGTGCTTCCTTGTGGTGCTGGGAAAACACTGGTAGGCAGTTGTTTACTGTTTTTGGTTGGTTAGTTCAACTTTCACATATGGTGAATTCTAAGCTAATTTGTAATGTCATACATTTGCCCGTCTTCTTTCTCACCAAACTGTGTAAACTGTTATATATATATTTCCCACGTAGCAGTATTGGTCAGGTTATTCGACCATGGCAACAGAATTGTTTTTTTTTGGTTATGTGCAATCCGCCGTTAATTATCACGAGCCTTTAGCGTTACTAGATTAGGTTTCTTTCGATGTGTAGTTTTGTCATTTTGAGTACAATAGTAAAAATGTCAACAAACGAGCGTTATCGCTCTGGAAATTTTGCGATGTGGATGATCGTGAAGTGAGAGTGTTCATTGTTGCATGGACTGCTACCTGTTTACGTTTTATGTAGTACACTCAGTGGAACAATTTACATGTATTCCTTTACATTTTTTAAGACGAAGTAGGAACAGTTCATCCCTTGCTCTGTTTGCCTTGAAATGTCGTGACTGGCACATATAGATTATACTTTTCCATGGTTACGGATCGTCGACCTTAATTTCGGACAGACTGCCGTGATTTTCCATTAGAAAGGACTGATTTAGATCGAAATCCGCTAATTGGAGGGCGACCTGATCAAAACGCTACCAGAGTTACCGATATAGAACGGCCTCAGGTGCTGCCATATGTTTTACTTAATGGTACTTATGCTACTTATGCTACTTATCAGTTAATCACCACTGTTGATGATAATTACGGTGGTGACTGCATGAAGGCGACATTGGTTTGTGATCTAGCCATTGAATTGTTCTCAGTCCACTCGTCGGCAACCTATGTTATGCAACTCCGACAATTACATTGCTCTTCAATAGATTTAGATTCCGTTGCATCTAACATATGGTAGGTGCTGTTAATCGTAATGGTTCACCATACACTGAACACCGTCCAACAAATTCTGTGAAGTCGACTGAAAGATTATGACTGATGCTGAACATCCTTCAGGGCGAGAAAAACGATGAAGTTGCAGTTTTCGGCCGGCTGGAGTAGACCATGCATCCGGTTGCAGGAAGTACAAACGGTGCGGCAAAATAATACACTTTTATTTTCGCCTAAAACCCGAAATCACAATATCTTGAGAATGAGTGGGATTGCTGTTCAATAGTGGGAAGTGGGAGGATCCGATAGAAACCGTACTTTGCAAAGGAACCCAACGGTGTTCAACATTTGCCTGGCTTTGAACAATTTATTTTTAAAATCACTCAACACAGCTGCTAGAGTTGAGCAGTGGCCAAGGATTGGTATATGCTGTTCTTGGGTAAAGGTTGGTTGGAAAAGGTCCTTTCAAACAGTGAAATACACTCATTTGCCTACCAATTTAGTTTTGACGGGGGACCCACCTGAATCTCTCGTTTAGGGTGTTCTGTGCCCACCTGATAAGCCCCAAGGAGAGCAAAACGGGTCGTGGGCTGTCGCAGAGTTTTCAGCAACCTTATGAGTAGTGCATTACGCCCTTTGAATACTCACTGTCAGACACTGAGTTTTGGAGCACTAACTCCGATTAGTCGTCCAGTTAATGCACGGTCCCAGAGATGTTACATAACTAGAATAGACTAATTTTTAAAAGTTCTTGCATGCTTGGTAGGGTACACACCATATACATGGCCTGCCCAGCCCGTACAACGACTCTACCTAAACCCGGCATTGTCAAACCTCCGTTTTTTCTTCTACTGTCACCTTTAACGGGATGTGTTAAGTAAGCTGAATTTAAACGTACTTTCCTGACTTTTAGACTGACATCAGAATTGGTCAGCATCTGGAAATGTGACAATGAAGACTGCTTTATTCGTGTCAGCCGCCTGGCCATTGGGTTGGAGCTAACTAGGCTAAGCTAGCTAATCACCTGCGGCCATCGATCACCACCGGTGGAATATACATTTAGGGACGAAGTCCCTTAATCATTCTAGTCTTTTTGAGCTTCAGCCCCATTGTTGATGCAACTGGGTATTATGACACTGTCGTGTGGATGTTGGGTCAGTATTGGTCAAAAAGAGCTGAAGAAATACATCAGCAACATCCGTTGGTCCTACCGTTATTGACAGTGAATCCGATGTCCTGTCGCACGTGCAATTAGGAGGAAGGTAAAACATCGCTATTCACCATCAAGGTTTTGCCCCATAACTTCAGACATTGTCTGCAGGACTCACTTTTCTGGATTTGTATGGAATTTTCGACTGTTCTTTTATCACACTGAAGAAATACATAAAAATATCAGTTTTCTTCGATTTCCGACGGCAAATCCTCGGAGGGACTTGGTTGTGAACCGACTTCTGTGGTCAGTTTTTTCACTCAGGCGCTCAAACACTTGTGCCCTCCGACCGGATTTGCCTGATATTGGTCAAGAGTCAGCTATTACTGTACTATTTGATCGACTATTTTTCGTGAATCATCTACTCAGCTATTTTCGTCATAAGAGATTTCCTGCACCATCTGCTTTATCTTCCAACCCCCCATAGGTTGGGGTTACAGCTGCTTGTACGATTCGCAAACCGACCTTTGTCCTTGGCACTAGTGGCGTGGCGGTTGAACAGTGGCGTTCTCAGTTTCGTTTGTGGTCGACAATTGAGGATAGCCAAATTTTACGCTTCACGAGTGATGCAAAGGATCGTCCGTCATCCAGTGCGTGTGTTTGTATCAGTACATACACAATGATTGCTCATTCCACCAAAAGGTCGTACGAGGCCGACCGAATGATGGAGTGGATCAAGGGGCAAGAGTGGGGTTTGATGATTCTGGATGAGGTAATTCGCACTGTTCACTTTTTTGTCCACACTGGCTTCTCCAGCTTCTAGGACTTCAGTTTGCGTGTCAAACCCTGTGTATAGATATCAGGAGTTCACTATATGCGTAGTGTGTGAGGACTCCTCGAATCGCTTTAGTACACGATGTCTTCATGTTGCTCATTCGCCGTTTGCTCTAGATCAGGGAAATAAGATTTGCAATTTCCATTTTCTCTGTTGACTATTTAATCTGCGTCAGATATCCACTTGATTATCCGGATTCCATTTCTTTGGCCAGCTGACTTTAGTTGGCATTCTATCTACTACTGGAATCCAATATCACTCTAGTATCACGTTTTTGATTCTGCCCTCCTCTCACAGTCATTTGCCACGCTGTGGTCCTTGTTACGGTCCCTCCCATGGCGAGGTCATTTGCAGGCGACTCTATGGACGAGTAGCCGTGTGGTTTGAATGGATGTTGTTTGTGTAAGGAGATCCTTTGGTAGGTTGACTGAAGTCTCCCAAGATACCTGAGGTTAAAATCCTCTCAGACCATTCACTTGTGGAGGTTCAACATCGTACCTGCAACATCGTGCCAGTTGGATATGTAGGATGTTCTACATAAGCTGGGATAATTCCGACAGAGTTTAGTGTAAAAGACTGTTGAAGATCGGACGTGACTAAACACAAATGGCGCTTCAAGATAAGACGTAATGATTAGTGTTGCCCACTTGAGTGTTTATGTAAGTTATGTTGACTTAGAATAACCACAGTTTTTCACCAGTCTTGACGTCTATGATGCTGCCGTAAGGTCACCTGGCCTTCATGTACGGTCACAAGGTGATTTCACGGTGTTGTGGATCGGGGATATAGCCTTTGGGCGTAGAGGATATAAGGAGGAGTTTCGCATCTGTCCATCGGTGTTTCCAAATCATTATCAGGATCCTTTAGGAACATCGGCCCAGAAATTCCATGGACACTGGATGATTTTTGGTAGAAGTAACTCACCTACTATGGTCACACTGTAAAAATGACGCTAACCATACCATGTGCTTTGCATGTCAGGGAACCGTCCACCCCATGCTGTGCGCGGTAAGATGACCGAAAATAGGTAAATCCTGACAACTTAGCTCTGTTGGTAACTGCAATGCTTCAGGTTGGTGACTCGGGGACGAGATAGCTGAGTATTTGTTGTCAGTGATGGACGCGATTCGCCACTACGTCCGATAGCCTCTTTCTCATACTTAAACTATTGCTCATTCAGAAAAGGGTTGTAGCTAGGTCTCGAGTTACGATACGGCCTTCGAAGACTATCTTATTCTCCTCATCGTCAGTACATGAAACAAGCAGCTTCTTCGAACTTGTGTTTGGTGTACAGTCTGTAGCTGGTAAGTAGAACTTAAGTGTACGAGCCCACCGGTTCTGAGCATTGTAGCCATAATACATCTTGCCTATAATACTTTTGGAGAACCTGCAACAGGTGCAAGGTTTTTTTTCACGGAAGCAGTTCCACACCGTGAGAGTTCATCCTTCAGCAGTTCTGTTTTTTAGGGAATCTATGAACTCTATTATCTTGCATCAAGTTCGTTTTTGATTCAGTTGTTCTGATTGATGAATATCAGTGGGAACTTGCGCCCACCCCGCAATCAAGTTTTTCTAGGTTTCTTTTTCGCGCTTGAATGCCATTTCATATGTTCATATTTAGCACTGGTAATGCTCTGCTACCATCCTTGTAGTCCAAATTCACAGTCTAATAACATTCGGTCATGTGGCATCTCAGAACCACGTGATCTCGGCAGTCCGTCAGCCGGACAGCTTCATCCCCGTTACATATATCTTCCATCTTGTTATCGTCGATGTATTTCAGCCGTCACTCACTCCATTGTGTGGTCTGGACATTAAACCAACCCCAACTGTTTGATTTTGAAGTTACGAGTCACGTGCCTTCAATATCAAAACAATCACTGCTTCGTTTTGTCTTATTCTGTGGCTAGATAGCTCAAACCAAAACATTTACAGGGTTACGTGGTTTTTATTATGTGCCCTGTCGTTGTGCCCGAAAAGTTTGGTGTTCTGCATACTAGCATAGCTTATTGTCTGCGTGCTGTTATACGGGATTTTATGGTAATTATTACTTCTCATGGGACAGACTACTTTACGCCTGTGATTTTCTACTGAGAATAATTGAGCTCGACATGGATCGGTGGTTAAAGCGCGAATTTACTGACCGAAGGGTCCGTGGTTCGAATCCAACTTTGGTCTCTCGATTGCTTTTGTTCAGGCTTGTGCAACCTGGCAATATCTCAGCCCTCGTGGTTTCTTCGGGTGGCATGGCAGCTAGGCATCGGAACGACTGAACGATTGAATAATCAAGTGACGCACACATGGCATAAGATTAAGGATACTGAGTCTGCTAGTTGTGAATGCGCTCGAACTGGTTCGTTTGGCTTTATCCATTCAGTGAATTCTGTTAGGAATCTGATCACTTGTGCACGATCATGTGACTCGCGGTTTTCACTTCCTGCTTTGCAGGAAAACTTTTATATGTTCCTAGTTTTAACTGTGATGTGTGTGGGATAAAGTGCGTTGTGTGTTTATTGCTTATTGTCTTATTGTTCATTTTGTGTTTATTACCACATCAAGACAGCTTCAAATACTCAGGCTATCGAAAAACTACATGCATTCCAATGGGTCTCGAAATGACCCATCTAGTCGGAATGTCCCTTTTGTAGATACACTGATGTATCCGCACCAGTATCCGATGTATCCTTCGGCACTCATTAACTATCGTAGACTGAAACGTCCGGACATCCCTTGCTAGGATCATTTTTCTGACAAAAGTCACATGAGTGGTTACAAGAAAGCGAGCTGTTCATGTAAGTCTGTCAAGATTCCATCGAAAATACCGCACTCTTCACTCGGATGTCGTAGCTTCATGAGCGAGTAATAAAACTAGTTATGTTTTACACCAAATTTTCCGGATGCTTGTAATTTTGCAATATGAATTTTCATAATTCTGGATTTGCACTCAAGTCAGACGAAAGTGAACGTTATCCTCGACTTATGAATAAAGAACTTTTAATTAAGGAAGTTTTTCCACTACTTCCCATTGCATTGGCTGAAGTTAATAGAAGTGGCTGAAATTCCCCAGACGGTCGTTCGTATGGGCGTTTGTCTCACTGACGTGAATTCGACGAATTTTGCTTATACCTCCAATGGAACACAGCAAGGACTGCAATCGGGATGTGCTTCTTTGAAACAAGCATGATGACCTGTTTAGTGACTGATTTCCCACTGGAGTGAGCCCATCTTGTCCCATTGAAGTGAGCTGGATATGCTAAATATTTCCATTTGCCTTACCCATTAGGCAAGCGCCGATGTGAACTCTGGTTTCCGGCCTATAACACACAGAAGCAAGCAATATCCCAACTTATCGAAGTGTGTCATACGGGCGTCCATGAGAAACATTCAGATGAATTCCAGGACACACCGCTCATCAACGGTCGCAAACAATTTGGACTATTTAGTGTTAACTCTAAATTTTCCACGGGGCGCAGTTACGTTCTTCCGTTCTTCGTAGAATATCATCAAGACGGGTCCGTTGTAGAGTTATCAAATCTCTGCACTCGGTATTTCCTCAGAAACCTGTGTGTGTGTGTGTGTGTAGATACGTGAAAGTAAAACGCTGTCCAAGTGAGCGGTCAGTCAGGTAGCAGTTGTGGGACACTTGGATGTTTTGAAACCCAAAGAACTCGCGGAGAAGCATGGATGTAGTTTGAGCAACCAAGGACGCATTTGGTGCTGGAGAATAAGGGCACTTATGCACAGGGTAATTTGCAGCCAACAGGCACATCTACTAATTGGAAGTCGGGGTTTAGGCCCCTCAGAAAGTAACCGTTCTAATCCAAATCTCACAGGGCAGGTGGTTTCAATTGGGAGTAGTCTTTTGTTGGTGGGGCATCCGTTGGAAAGGTCTGTTCTCCAAGGCACCTTTTCAGTGCCACCAGAAGGAAGCTCAAGACCTGGGATACTGCCAGTTTGCCCAAGCATAGACAGGGGAGGTCGAGAGTCAGAGGTCGGATTCGACCTACGGACCTTCCGGTCAGTAAATTCGCATTCTAATCACTGAGCCACCTCGCCTTCCAAGGAAACAAAGTGTTCTGGTAAGGCGATCCCAATTATCTTTTATCTGCTCAATGGGTGTGGCCATTGGCATTTTGCCGTCAGGCGATGCACAGCAAATACACGATACCTAACTTATGTGAAGCGTAAACTAAAGGAAGCAGGCCGAATTCAGGAAATTGAAGCGAAGAACAAGATAGTTTTTTTATTTTAAAAATCGTTCAGCTGCAACACTTTTTCGGTGCCTACTTGCCAGTCCATTCAAAGGAAGTACGAGGGCTTGGATACTGCCAGGTTGCCCAAGCCTAATCAGAAGTCAAGGTGAAGGTGCCGAGTTCGAATCACGGACCTTTCGGTCAGTAAATTCGCACTCTAACCACTGAGCCCCATAGTTTCTGAAAATGAATAGTAATCATGGAAAGTGGAGAATATTTATGAAAATGGGATGAATCACGTCTTACGAGGTCCACCCCAGTGCCGTCTCACAAAAGTCCTAGTAAGCCATCAAATACTTACCCAACTTATCCAGCAACAACTTTGGTGAGCCAATAACATCTTCAAGGCCAAATTTAGGTGTCACAATTACACATTGTTCGGACAACACCAGGGGAATTTTTAAATCAGTATTGAGTCAATTCTGCCCGCTAGCTACTGAGGTCACTCGAGAGAAAAAACCTACGCGCTTCTTGGCGCGGAAGCGGCATAATAGCTTTACTGGTTGCTGTTGTACAACACTGAATTTGCTGCTTTCTATGGGTGATAATGACAATAACGTCAATACTAACAATAATGACATTTCGCCGTACAGATGCATACCTTTGAGGCGTGCTTACACACTTGGAGCGAATATTGGGTTTGATTGAAAACGAAAGTCGGAGCTGTTGGAAAACAGTCAAAAATATGCTTTATCATAAAGCATGAACCCAATGGGAAGACTCTAAATTACATTCCAGGACTTGAAGCAATAATACTGATAGCCTAGTGTGTGAAGAATTCGAAAACGACAGCAAGCGATAGATATACACGACAAACAATACTGTTCATCCATACTGATTTACGTATCAAATGGTGGCTTTAAAATCAAAATGTCAGATGCTTTGGTTTTTCCGGGCTCAATCTCGATTGGGTGCTTTTTGGAGTTAGTAGAGGAACGTATTAAATTGGAAGCAGTGTTAACCGTAAAGATTGTTCAAAAAAAGGGAAGTGAGCACGGATATTCCTGCTTAGAAGATCCTTTTCAATAGTATGGTCCTTGGTAAGAGTTCATTAATTTTGGAGCTTGAATTGGTCATCTCACCCATTACCTGCGACCTTGTTAATTTTTCCTCATAATAAAGGTGCCTTCCACAGTATGCATTTACATTCGAAAAGCTTTCTTATCGCAGTTAAGGAATCCTATGAGTGGGTTGCACAACGGACAAGGATGGTCCTCGCTTTTTCGGTGTATTCGCATGCCGATCGGATCACTATGTACTTGCTCCCTGTCAAGATGGAGCAATAGTCTGACGCTTCTCCTTATCTAGTTATTGTCGACCGTACCTGTCCTCATCTGATCCGTTGAACTCGCAAAACTCTGCTGTGCAATATAGTTTAACCGGTGCAATCGAATCAGTGTGTGTTTTACTTCGAACGAGGCTAATGACATTTGAAGTTCCTTCAGTACCATCCATAAGAAATAAATTATTTACTACGTTTCATTTATCTGACGTAATCTGCTGGACTTATGACCAAGGAACTTAGCTGATGCAAACTAGTTTGCAGCATGGCCTTCAAGCATATCCTTTGGACCACATTTGTATCACAGATAAACCAGTTCAGCTCAATATCCTAATTATCCGGAAATTCGTTTTCTCAACGCGATATGACCGCCATTGCTTGGGAATTTAGTTATTTTCGTATGATACCCAGTTGGCCTTTTCAGATCGTAAAGATGAATATTTGCTTAAGTTTCAGAAGTGAGGGAAAATGATGACAGAACGTTGGTTGATCAGTATTTGAAGGATTTGTTTGGACGAGCCTATCAAGCACGATCGCATAGCCTGAACTAATATATACGGACTCACTGAAATTGCATCATACCATCGTAAACAGTCTATTTTTGCACCATATTTCACCAATAGGTACACACTATTCCGGCCAAAATGTTTCGACGTGTGCTCACGATTGTTCAGGCTCATTGTAAACTCGGCCTGACGGCGACACTGGTGCGTGAGGATGACAAGATCACCGACCTAAATTTTCTCATCGGACCAAAGTTGTATGAAGCCAATTGGTTGGAACTGCAGCAGCGTGGTTTCATCGCTCGAGTCCAGTGTGCCGAAGTCTGGTGCCCTGTGACACCCGAGTTTTATCGAGAGTATTTGAACGTAAGTGTTTAGTTTTCTGTTCATTCCAACTCCCGATCCGTTTTAGTATCTTTTATCTGCGTTTCATGATCAGTAGTGGCTGGTGGCCTCAGTAGGGCCGAAAAGGAAGCATTTCGCCGCTTAGGAAGTTGTTGCAAACGAAGCTTGTTGTTGCATGGGATCTTTGGAATGGTCGCAAGTGTATCAGTCCATATGAATGTATATATGAAATGTATATGAAACGTATTTAAGGAAGTCCAGTTCAGTGACATGTAAGCTCATGGACCAAGTTAGGAATAGACCTGTGATTCCTCATCAGGGTGTAAAATCTGCACAGAATCACATACTCATAATTATAAGGACATCTACAATTAACATTTCCAGAGGTAGAATCACGTGACTTCACACGATACGCGTATTTGGATGAAAGCATTATTTTATGTGGTAATCCAAAGTCTCGCGATCCAGTACTTGCGAGAATGCAGCGCAAGAAATTTACCATGAATTTTAAATGGAATAAGCCGATTTTTCGAGAGCTACGGTAAATTTATCGCTTATATCGTTTATGAACGCATAAATCGCTTGCTTACTGTGAGCACTACTTAAACCTTGTAAATTCACCTGTAGTCAACCGTATTTCAATACTTTCTATAGCCGCTTATTTGCGAATCAGAATTAGATGTGTACAACCGAATAACTACGAAAACATAGTACTTTACTTTTCAGTGCCTCAGTTTCCATTAGATTTTGCACACCAAGAGAAGCGCTCAAAAATTACATCAGACCGTTTCTCCACTAGGCTCATGTTTAGTAAGATGTCTTATTCCGACACAGGACTGTTTTTTTTGGTGTGTTTGCGAGCAGTAGGCACCCCTATTCTGACTGTAGTCCTTTAAGGTATAGGGCGTTTTTGCGACTGGTTCACAGCCGTAGCCTTTTTTTTCACTCTTTAGTAAAACCCTTTTCTCTATGGCTGTATGAGACTTGGATCTCAGTACCTGGGATGATACCAATAGTTCGGCATTTAGTACGCGCACAGCACCATTCGTTGGAACGGACCGGTGGTAATACACTTGGGACATAACATGAAGCAGCGAACAGTGATTCAATATCTTTAGTCATTATTGTTTTGATGCGTCTTCATGATGACTCGTCCTGTTTAGTGATTCTCACTGAAATTTCGCTGGATGCAAAGGCCACTACTTCTTAGCGGTCTCTTATAGCGGTCACCAACAATCCTCACACAACTCGATGTGCTACGCTAGTAAGTGTGGATCATGGGAGCGCAAGCATTTTGAATATCTGGAGAACTCATCTCAGTTAGAGTAAAATATATTACCGTGTTTTTACAGTAGTCTTGAAAAACAGCAGGTGCAAATGAAATTTTACTACCCTAGTACGTAATCCTTCCGACACAGACTGTTTTTTTTGGTGTGTTTGCGAGCAGTAGGCACCCCTATTCTGACTGTAGTCCTTTAAGGTATAGGGCGTTTTTGCGACTGGTTCACAGCCGTAGCCTTTTTTTCACTCTTTAGTAAAACCCTTTTCTCTATGGCTGTATGAGACTTGGATCTCAGTACCTGGGATGATACCAATAGTTCGGCATTTAGTACGCGCACAGCACCATTCGTTGGAACGGACCGGTGGTAATACACTTGGGACATAACATGAAGCAGCGAACAGTGATTCAATATCTTTAGTCATTATTGTTTTGATGCGTCTTCATGATGACTCGTCCTGTTTAGTGATTCTCACTGAAATTTCGCTGGATGCAAAGGCCACTACTTCTTAGCGGTCTCTTATAGCGGTCACCAACAATCCTCACACAACTCGATGTGCTACGCTAGTAAGTGTGGATCATGGGAGCGCAAGCATTTTGAATATCTGGAGAACTCATCTCAGTTAGAGTAAAATATATTACCGTGTTTTTACAGTAGTCTTGAAAAACAGCAGGTGCAAATGAAATTTTACTACCCTAGTACGTAATCCTGTGGCACAATCCCTAATGGTCACCTCATGAGAAAACATCACCAACGATACATTTTAGAATCCTACCGACAACCACCGCCTTACGTATCTGATCCCAACGGTTATCCAAAATGTCGATTTTGAGTTTAATACCAATCCGGTGCTTTCAGAAATATCATCTAATTACTCTTGGCTCCCAGTAGCCCTTGCACATATTTGGTTAGAAGCAAAAATGCAGTAAATTGGACTCGATCGTGTTGTTTAAAGATCAGAGGATCGGTGACCAAACCGGTCGTTGACCTTGGCATAGTGGGACAGATTAGCATGTTTTCCACTCTTTTGAAGTTTCTGAAGGTGGTATGGTGATATTTACGGTGATTGGATAGTCGTTCGGGGGCTACCAGTGTTACTGCAAGCCACGGACAGCCAATATTGATCTGATACCTGAAGGAGCAAGTTCTTCTCTTCTAAGAAACTCCTTCAGGGGATTCATATTTTTCCCAATATAAATAATTTTATAACTATGCTGTTTCGTCGTTGTTATTGGTATTGTCTTTTAGGTGTCAGTACCGATTGTGTTTTTGGACCAATTCGTGGATTTTATGCACTGGCTCATCACGTTTAGCCTTGGGATCTAGAGAGGTTATTTCAGAAGCCACCTCGCTATCTAAAAGTACTCACCTGTAGTACAATGTATCATGACCGTCATCGTATTACACAGGTTTTTCTGTTAGGTACTGTAGAAAAACTTCCGTACAGTGGGCCTCTACACAGTTTACCCTTGTGAAGTGATCGTTTTCGGTAGACACCGTTAGTTTTTTGGTCTGAAACGACAGTCTACTCTTATACCAACATCAAATCACAGTTTCAAACAAACTTGACTCCACACTCTTCTTCATTTAAAAAAAATAGACGTTTCAGTAGGACAGCCTTTCATGCACTGCCCTCTGCAGCATCAGCACGCTTTATGGACTTTTTGCATGCCTAGTAAGTCTGTTGTTTCTGTTAGGTGAAACATCTATAGCTTAAAATGCCACACTCCGCCAAAGAACAGTTAAAATTTGTTCACATCGTAGTACCTTAGAGCAGCCTGTGACTGCCTTGATGAATTGGCGCTAGTTTGCTCACCTAGCTGGTCAGTGTGGTTGCAAACGCCTCTTTGCCAATCCGGGAAACATCACCAGTGGGACATTTCCTAGTGAAGTTAGGTTGTGTGAACGTGAGTTATGATCTTTGAACGTGGGGATTATTAGTCATTCTCAGACAACCTCCGGGAATTAGCGTCCGAGGTTGCATCATTGATGGGAAGGTCTGCCATGTCGCTCCAATTGTTTAGTTCCCCTGAACGTTTAGCAGTTTAATATGAACAATAGGTATTTTGGATATCCGTGAACTAACGGTGGTTGACATATTTCAGTCCACTCACTGTTCAGCGACTTTGCTGTACGAACAAGGACAAACTTACGCACAACCCAAGTCACAAGTGGGAGCTTCCTGCTTCAGTAGATTCTTTGCGCTGTACAAGTCACCAAGGGGTGAAAAAAAATGAACATTTACACATTTATTTAAACGTTGAACTCCACGAAATTGGATCATGACTAAGACAGAGAATCCAACTAGCGTCGTGCCTAGACAGCCACTGTCTAACTTTTCGGATTTGTGGAGTTCAGGCCCAGTGTTGAGCTTTCCCGGACGTTAGCTGTCATTTCTGTTTTGCTATCTCGTTTACCAGGCATAGTTGTTGGAACGGTTCTCCAAATCGTGCTCAGGCGTACACTGTATCTCACTTCCACCCAGCCCCCTTACTGTTGTCAACCAGCATTACCGTCAGCTGTGCTCGATCATTTCCATCATTATGAACATCATTCACTCTGTCTGATTTAATGTTGTGTTGCTGTATTTTCTCCCCTCATCCTGGTCCTGCTCACCCTGCTTGTTTGTTTTATTTCGTTTGTTGTTTTTGTTTGTGTGTTGTCCACACCCATTGTTATCGGATTCACTCTCCGTATGAGTTTGAAGGGGAATGGTGTCTAATCCATCGCACCTATCGAAATAAATCTATCTGTCTAACTTTTTAAATGCTATTCACTGGGGCAAATTTGAATTGGCTTTCACGCTACATTCCTAGGTTGAGTTGCATGAACGGAGTGAAGTGCTTTAATGGGAAATCGGTGTCTATGACAATTCGTATGAAACTCATGATTGCATGAAAGATAGATGAAATGTCATATCATACTTCAGCGTGTAGCTGAATCAATTTCTCCTGGAAAATACATGATCTAGTGCACAGGTGTTTTATTTTTTTTCAGGCTTTCAATCAATACATGTCTTAGAAAACAACTGGGGGCATTTGTAATGAAAAAACGGATGTAACGATTGACGATCTTTCCAAGAAGCGGGCGATTCACGTGTGTTTGCGTCAAGGAGGATTTGCTCTCCGAACTTGTTTCTTCTGTAGAGTGTTCCATATACCGGAAAAGTGGAATGGCTCCTTATCACATCTGTACAGCGGTTGATTTTGCGTTTGAGTTTTGCGCACTGTACAAAACTTTTCTGGCTCCAATCGCGAGATGTAGACCCCTAACAAGGTATGAGCGATGAGTCAGCCTCAGCATAAAAAACTGGATTACTTGTGGGCGACTGAATGGTTGTCCTCAACTGTTTCCAAGTCTCTGCCTCTTGAGCTAATGGTGATATCACTCTCCGGTCGTACAAAAGGCTGATCGGCGGCGCTAGCAGTCGGGTGTGTATTCGCGACACCACGATGTGGCACCTATCCTAGTTCAGCTCGACAGACAGCAGACCGCACTTCTCACTCAGTTCATGCAACAGTTCTTCAGTATGTGCATTGAGTGGATGCATTCACTTGGCTCCGTTCCTCTGACTGTCTTCTGATGCGATCTGCGTCGAACTGTAATCTCTTATTTACTGAATGTTCTTGTCTTACACACTAATGACTGTTTTGGACTGTTTGCTCATCTTCCCGTTTCAGCAACCGGCACCCACGCTTTTCCATTTAGCTTAAATCTGCTGTTATTTCGTGTTCCACAGCCTATCATTTCCGCTTTTTTCTCACTGCAGATGAAGTCAATGAAGAAACTTTTGTTGGCCGTAATGAATCCTAACAAGTTCCGTGCATGCGAGTTCTTGATCCGCTACCACGAGCGTCGAAATGATAAAATTATCGTTTTTTCGGATAACGTTTTCGCCCTCAAATACTATGCGATGAAAATGGGTCGGCCCTATTTGTATGGGCCCACAAGTCAGGCTGAGAGGATGCAGGTTTTGCAGAACTTTCAACACAATCCTAACGTGAGTGTATGATGTGTACTTGATTTCCTGGCACATTATCTTTTTTGCATAGTTTCTCAACTGGTACACCGTATGGTTTCTATCGTTTAGGATCGGAGTCTTCCGGGTTGGATCCTCGTAAATAGTTCTAAATGACCTGCTAAGTTCGTGCTGCTGATGCGTCTGACTGTTGTTTTAGCATTGATGACGCAGGTGAATGTTTTACCCAACGAAACCTTTCTGAAAAAGATATTGACTGTAGACAGCCTGACTCCAACTTAGGACAGACCTCCATCAGTGATCTCTGTCAATCACTGGTCTTGGGTGTCTCGGACTTCTATGTGATCATTGTCCTACCCTATCGGAACAAGCAGACTATGTTAATCTCTCCAACTTCCAGTCGTTTCGTATTCCTCCTACCCCCAGTAACTTTCCGAGTAAACTCGAATGTCACCTTAATCTTTCAACTCTTTATCTTTTACACTGGGTCTCATGAACTTGAAGTTATGTGATTTGGCGTTGATGAAAAAGTACCGCAACCGCCTACAGCAGTAAGCCTCTATCGTGACATTTGTGTAGTTTGGATAATGAGGCACGGAGACCGGATCGAGACGGAATGGACTGCGTAGAAGATGGGTTTCTATCTTCATCTATCGCACAAGAAGATACTGTTATCATTGGCATGACAGGAATCGTGGGCGCGATGCTTAGTAGAATGTATAGTGTTTCACAGCTGCGTTTGCTACTCAGAACATGGAATGCGCTTCTAACGTTGATCAAAGCAGCTCCATAAGTGCTCTCGACGTCAAGAGACCAGGGATGCAGCTAAAAGAACATGGTTTCAAACTCGTCCTGAATAGTATGAATCAGTTCAATTGACGACATACTACGTTCGCTGCTAATCCCGCCCATTCTATCGCCAAATACCTAATCCCTAGTGGTCACCAGTTTAACGCTGCCACAGCCAATAAAAGAACTACAAGTGAAAGACTGTTGATCTTGCTTGAAGCTTTCATAAGTACACGGTCTGTGCTGCACCAGTGGTCTGATTGCCATTGGTATTTTCAGCCCTTGGTGGGATAACAGAGTCAGACAGTTAATGAATACGAATCGAAGCAGGCTTATCTTTGGCTGATGTTGATGGTTTATGGTCATCCGCAATATACATCATACTTGTCTTCGAACCCTGCAGCTTCGTTTGGACGATAAAGAATTTCGAGTTGGACAAGTGACTACATAGGTGGTACGGGATAGGTACGTTGTCTGTAGAATCACGAAGCGCTTCCGCACAAATCGCGGTAAGGTATAGACTGAACATGATTGGAGTTAGAACAGGACCTTGCTTGGCTCCCATGTCCATCTCGAATTCCGCAGAGGTTCTGCAAGCACAAAATCGAGCCCTCACTCGAGTGAAGCGAGTTGATGATTTTGATAGCTACGGAAAGCGCCGAGCTTTTCAACGACAATCCGCAGCCCAGATTCTTCACAGAGGCAACAGCTTTCGTATCATCTACGAAGCGTGTGCACAATAGTTGATTCCCTTCCTGACATTTTCCTTGCAGCTAGTACGCTACGAACACAGAATCGATTATGCTTCACCTGCTTTGGAGTCCACACTGCTTTTCAGGGATATTTTCCATCCAAGATAAAACATTTCAACAAACCATGTCTAGGTGGGCGCGAAACACTCATGTATATGCAAGTCATTTGCCAAGCTCGGTAAACAGATCAACAGCCCCTTGATCAACAACCAATAAACTCACCCGGGGTACCAATATTTTGACACATTACCAACTGTATAGCATCAACATTACGGCAAGATTGGTAGAACACGACAGTCTCCTTGTAGCTTGAGCCAGATGCATCTCATGGACAGGAACCTCAAACGACAGCCGACAACAAAACAGAGTTGGGGTTGCGCTATCCTGCTACTTGTTCTCAATAACTGGTGAGCTAAAATGCATCACTTCCAGAATGTGAATCCCATGGACATTAACCTCAAACGACAGCCGACAAAAAACAGATTTGGGGTTGCGCTATCCTGCTACTTAGTCTCAATAATTGGTGAGCTAAAATGCATCACTTCCAGAATGCTAACAGTTCTATTGGTTGTTGATCAGCTGGTTGTTGATGTGTTCGCTGAGCTTGACATGGGCATTTCGCGCCTATGTACCCATGGTTTCTAGCAATGTCTTATTTTTCCCCAGAAGAAGATTTTAATACTCGATTTTGGCAAGATTCTGAAACCTAGAAGTAGATAACGGGGTCTCCTGGAATTAAATTGATGAATGGTAACAACCAGCGTCGTTTTTCCATACCTGCACCTCAGAGTTGACCTCATGGGTCACCCGAGTACTGTACTCTGAAACTCCTTAAGGACGACCATTTTCTGGGACCAGATTAATCAGTTTAAGTGATGCTTCAGATTTACGCTGCCATGGCATGGCGATCAGCTTCAAGATATGCACAAGTCGCGATCCATTGTCGGTTCCAGTGACAGACTCCGTAGACCATATGGAAAACGATTTTTATTTTGCTGTTCCCGTAGTTATCCGTTGTCTGCAACTTCTTCAAGATATCCGGACCGGTGAAAAGCTCACGAAACCAGTGGATAGTTGTTTGGAAGACTCACTTTTCCACGCCTCTGAACTGCTCGTCCCAGATCGAATAGGACTAACAGAATCAAATACTTCAATGTATAGAGAAGAACCGCACGGACGACTCTTCTACGTTGCAGGAACTATAAACAACGATTTCGGGAACACATAACGGGAATGCCCTTGGAATTGATGCATTACCCGCCAAACTGTTCAAACTTGATGCACAAGGACTGCAAAGTCAATTTTTTCATATAATTTTTTCAACGCTGAAAGTGGTGAACTTCACGCACTACTGAAAGGAGACACTTTCTCAAAGGAAACCGAAGCAGACAGAAGACAAATGATTAGCTTGCTTTGCTGAGCTAGCACAGTCCTGACTGATATTCTAGCCAGTCGAATACACCCTATCCATCAGGATAGGGTGCATTCCAGAGAAGGTTGCATTCCGTTAATTTATTCTTCTTAATGGAACAAACATTAGGGAAATATCGCGGACGCAACCAACCCATATATGTTCTATTCGTTGAATTCTTAAGATCTTTTGATTCGGTATACAGATGAAGCATAATGAATCATTTTTCGAAAGATGCGCTACTCCAGGAAAATCACTAATCTCGTTGAGTTAATTCACCCTGAAATAAGGCTAATTATCTACGTTGAATACGCCTGGAGGCTTTTGACTGTTGTCTGAACGGTTTCCTGTTCATTTCAAAACCCTTTCCAGCCAAGCGAGTGCTACGTGCCTCGAAGACCCATATGTTGTTGTTTTGCTCACGATTGTGCTCTGCTGACATATTTAGGATAACTGCAACATTCAACTACGTTGTTCGTGTCTTGACTCAGGCAGAAATACTTCTAAAGCGCCAGTTTTCTATCAGCCAAAAGCAGAAATGAACGGCAATCGGATAGCTTAGAATTTTACTACCTTCGCAGCACTGACCAGCGACCAGATGGTCGGCAAGAAATTTTACTAGCAACTTTAGAAATGCATTAGGAACAACCCTCATCGGCGCTGTCGGTCTGTGGAGTAGCTGTATTCACTCTATACCCGTAGATGCTTTTCCCCACATTAAAATCTTTCCTTTAAGAAGAATACTTCCAAAAATCAGCTTCCAACCAGCTCAATTTTCCGCTGAGTAGAGTCCCGTAAGGACGTTTCGTTTCGATGATATTACCATGATGACCAGGTCAGCGTGTGACCGACAATCCTCTTCGTGATTTTCCTAACTATAATTCATAAACACGTACACTTCTTCTACAAGCAAACAGCATTCAGTCCACACATCTTCCGCTCTATTTGAAGGGTTTAATGATCTCGTTTTTAATTACCTCATATTACGGGTCCTTCTCTTTCTTCCTACATTGGTCTGTTTGTCGTGACTCGATCTTTTTATACTTGATTTCATTTCTGACTTCTAGCCCAATGCATCTATTTCTGCTCAGTCTGATGATCACGTATGGATGCACAACGTGCACTTTTGGCTCATCTTCTGGAGGAAACCGTCTGCCACTAGACTGACCGGTTATTTTTAGTCTCAATTGATCAATCAACCATCACTCTAGTAGACAGCCTCGGTCAGTCATTTGCATTTGTCTGGTAAAAAATCTCTGTTGTGTTTGTGGGAGCTAGTCGGTTTTTCGTGATGGTGGCAGTCGTTGGGCTCTTCCTGGTGCTAGTCGCGTTGGCGTGCAAAGTGTGACAAACGAGCCAGTATTGCTCAGCATCTTTATTAGATATCGATGGCAGAGGTGCCCTTAGGAACTTCAGTTTTCGTAACGTCATTTCCGCCCCCGACACTACTTCGTCTCAAAGCAGCACACCAAGCTCATTGGTTCCTGCCTATATATATATATATATCTATCGTCCTAAAGCTGCCACCGCATAGTTGCTGGGTGTAGGCGCTGTATTGATCCTGCGGGATACACTGCTGCGACGTCAGCTCCCTCCAGGAAGAATGGGTTAAAAAGTTGGCCGGTGGATTGTGCAATACAGTCGAAACGCCTTTAATAATCAAGAGTCCGGTACTGCTCCAAATGTAGCTGCTGAGTGCAGTGGCTTGCCTTACTCCATGCGTCATCGGGCTAGTTCAACCTCCCCCCACCCGACCTAAGGATGCTGGTACATAAGGTTTGGGATTCGTGCTTAGTCCCAGGGCTGAGTGCGCTTTACTCGACTGGATTTTTAGTAAGTAGCCATCTTTGCGCGGTTAGGTTGACTGGTTCAGTCGAGATCATCCCATCTCAACGTGGTAGATGATGTTTGTTTTGTCAGCATACGCCCCGATAGACGGTAGCTTTGAAGCTGAGCAGGGCAATTTCTATCCGGATTTGTTATGGTTGCCTCAGTCAGATATGTTGATTCCGGCAGGTGAAATGTTCAAGTTGTCGGACTGAGTCCTGATGAAGTCCATCTTGGCGATT